GAAAACCTCATATGCCATTCTCTCTCTCTTAGACTGTCTTTGCTAACCAAATATCATCCACACTGTACTTGGCATAAAGTTCATGATCATTCCAGCAGGTACCCTTTCCTATTTTCCAAAGACAATAAAGATATTTGCCTTATTGCCTTTATTTCAGTGGACATTCTAGACTGGGAATAGGTGATAAGGACAGTTGCAAGTCTGCATTCAAAAATGACACTTTTGTCCTATATTGGGATCAAGTCTTACCTATCAAATAATCTCTCATGTCACACATCTCGCTCCTCTTTGCCCACCCTCCATGGCTCCAAGCTGATTTGCAGGGAATTCCCCAACCAAATCTTAACAATAGTTAACTTTTTTTTTTTTTTAGCTTGACTCCAAATCCATAAATATTAGTGTAAAGGTACCTATCAGTATTATTTACTTTAGCGGCCAAATACTTCAGCATTAATCTAAGATCCCATTTCAATGTGTAAACCCACAGCAGGTGAATCGCAGGCGCATCCTTAATTAGAAATGCAAATGCAGGCCTGCATGGTATTTATTTGGTACAAGCCATTACAGAAAATTTGCCCCATAAAACTAATTAAATGAAGCTGTAATCGGTGCAGCTAGTTTTCACACACATGGGTGCACAGATGACACCACGGCGGCAGCACAAAGCCCGTTTCTGATCACAGGTTCACTTGTGCACACTGGCCTGGCTTGCATGACAGGCTCTGGTTTCTTTCAAAATCCAGCTCCTCATCACACTACAGATGATTTCTTTCTGGTTATTAGGAAATACTAATAAATCCAGGATTTTCCTATTTTACAGATTAAGTCACAAAAGCTGATTTTCAAAGTCACCTTAAGTTGGCCCATGAGATAATTGTGAGGAGTACATGTTTGAATGAGAAGGCAGAATATATACAGCTGGACACCATAGCATAGAGGTTAGAGCACTAGACCTGTACAATAAATAAAACTAAAACAAAAAGAAGAAAGGAGGAATGACATAGAGGAGAAGAATCCAGCTTTATTTTCTGGAAAGAATGAGGATCACTTAACTGAGGACAGAAATATTAAATCAGTCTACTGAATCAGCTAATTAGTAGGAGATGGTGTACACTACCCAAAATGTTTTGAGACCCTAAAATGGACTGACATTATTTACCATGATTGATTAGAGCAGCGGTTCTCAACCTGTGGGTCATGACCCACAGGGACGGTATTAAAGGGTCGTGGCATTAGGAAGGTTGAGAACCACTGGATTAGAGGGTTGGAGGAACTATGTGAAAATGGGTATGCAGATTATAATATACCCCAGTCTCAATGTTATACTGATTTCACTCTTGAGTATTTGATTTAAAAGTATTACACACAATCTATATAATTTTTTAAATAGATTTTTTCAAAACATTAAAGAGATGTGAAATGTATAAAAAGATGACTCGTTGACCTACAATCTTTAAATTCTGACATGTGTCTAACCACACATATATGCTTTGACCAATTCACCACCAATCATAAACATATTACTACTAAATTTAGTATATGGATTTTAAAAGAGCCAATTGTCAGCTAGCTTTTTAATTCACCCTGATTAAAAAGATATAGTGAATTTAGAACAGGCTCTTTATTGAACTGGGGCAAATGCACTTAGCCCATTACCATTCTGAGTGAGATTAAAAGTTTAAGTACATCCTACTTTTTACTTAGACATTTAAAAAATGTAGTTTGCATTTTCTCTAAGAAGTATAAATCAAATCTTAGTTTACGACATGGTTAAAGAAAATGTATTCTCACAAAAATTCAGAGATACAACTAAGAGATACAACTTTTGTTTGTATTCATAAAGTTGATTGACTATGGCTCTGTACCCTACAGGGGTAAAAGGGAAGCACCAATAAATCTGTTTTATGATTCTCTCTCATATTAAAAAACACACACAACGAGACAGAAACAAGTCCTCTCCTAAGCAGCACACATTGTGGTATCAGCAGGCTTTCCTCACTGCTTAGCTCTGAGAGTTTCGACCCATTCCTCTAGAGTCTTCTTTCTCAGTAATTTGCCCAAACTTTCAAATCAACAATTCCCATATTTGTAAGCCCAGAGCAAAAGGCTTCAGCGACTCCCTGCTAATAAACTCCAACCTCCTCAATCCTTCTGAGTGGCCAGGCCCTCCACCCCCACACCGCCCTGCACGCCAGCACTGGCTCCTCCTCATTCTCTCAGGGCTTTCCCCATCCCTCTGCTTCCCTGACCATGCTTTACCCCAACTGGTAAGGACCTTTCGTGCTTCACCTCATGCACCCAGCACCAGCAGCACCTTCCTTCCTGGCCCAGCTCAAATTCCATTCCCTTTCCTCAAGTCCTCCCAAACTGAAATAATCCACACGCCCTGTTTGCCCCTGTCCTGCTCCGTTCCACGTTCATTGCACAGGTTCCTTCCAGCAAGATGTTTGACTTTTCAAACCTGTGCCCCTCCTGCTGATCACACAAACAGCCTCCTGATTCTTGGCTTTCAACATGGTATTTACTCAACAGACACTTTGTTGGTGTAACAAATGCTCAGCCTCTTGGGCTCAGATAAGAGACTGCCTGAAGTCAAACCCTGCCTCTCGTACTTACCAGCTATAGGATCCTTCCCGGGCCTAAATCTTCTACTTTGTAAATGGACATAGTAAAGCCTGCCTCTTTAGGTCATTACGGAATTAAGAATTTAAGTTACGTGCACAAGACAGGGCTTGCCTGTTAACACTACTGTACCATCTCTCAATAGATACTAACTAGATATCTAAACGGGGAAAGAAGGAAGGAAGGAAAAAGGAGGGAAGGACAGAGAGGAGAAGAAAAAAGAAAGGAAAGAGAAATGAGGAGGGAAGGAAAGAAGCAGACTAACAGGCAAGCAGGCTACGCCAAGTGCTGGTAATTTGGAAAGACCAAATTCACAAAACCTTTACAAATAAAATGAAACAAGTTGAAAAAAAAAAAAATACCAGGGCAGCACCTGTGCCTCAAAGCAGTAGGGTGCTGGCCCCATATACTGGAGGTGGTGGGTTCAAACCCAGACCCGGCCAAAAACGGCAAAAAAAAAACAAGTAGTGTTTGCCTAGCAAGAAATAAAATGTGCTACAAAGGGATTTGTGTATAAAAGTTTCAGAGGAGGCTCGGCTCCTATAGCTCAACCGGCTAAGGCGCCAGCCACGTACACCTAAGGTGGTGGGTTCGAATCCCCAGCCTGGACCTGCCAAACAACAATGACGGCTGCAACCAAAAAATAGCC